TACACACGGTGAATTCTGTCTAATTTCAATACAACCCAAAATTCAGATTTAAAATACACATTGTTATACTTATTAAAACCACATGCTGCATATTAGATAAAACGTATGTGTATTATATTCCATGAATAATATATCTGGAAAGTTTCTGGAATTTCTGAGCCTCACCATTGAGCGGTTGAATTATCGTCATACTGTTACAATTTACAGCAAAAACTAATAAAAGGACTAAGAACATAAAGTAGCCTGCACATTAACCCTTAGTCTGGAGCCTTTTAGAGCGATTTTTACAACCTTACAATTTTTTTGTTTACAATATTTTTTTTTGCATTTTTGCATTGCATTACACAATAATTCCACAAAGAACTGAAATTGTACAAAAAAAATTAAATATAAAACAAAATGTTTAAATATAAATAAAAATATGTATTTAAAGCAGTACTTTTTAACTGCAAAACTAAACAAAATTGAGAAAAAACAGTTTTTATGTTACTAAACTGTTGATAAATGTTGAGGCAAAACAAAATTTCAAAGTCCACAAATTAAGCAAAGACAAGGTCAAAACAACATGAAAATTGTATTTAAAAACCCGGCGACCCTTCTCTAAATCGTATTCACTGTTACAAGCACTTTATGTGCCATTGTGCTTTGTTTGTGCCAGAACTTTGAAAAACACAAGCCGTATCACAGGTATTGTACTTCAAAGGGTTCTCTTCTTTTCACTTTGCGATTGTGCTTTTTGTCCCATTTTAATTTCAATTACCTTGCAAATTATGTGTCATAACTCTTGAAACAAAAAAATACCAACTAAAAACATTTTTAAATCAAAATGAAACAATAGCTGGGTCGCATCATTGCTACTTAATTGAAATCGGTGTGATTTGCAGTGTGGGCCGAGACTTTTAAGGTTTGTTTTCATGCATCTTTGGTTTGGTTTTTGTTGCTTTTCTCATCATAGATAAGAAGATAAAATTTTTGTAGTCACACGCTTACGAATGTTAATAGAGGAATTTGTTCACTGTACTTTTTCAAGTAGTTCTGCAAGCACCAGATTCAGTGGGTTATAACTAGTAAGCATCACAAAACAAAGGCAAACGTAAATTCCATATTATTTACAAGTTTGAATCTTTTGAGAAAAATAAAAGATGAAAAAACATTACACAATTTTAGAGATGCATGTGTCAGGTCTGCATTGAAGCTCTAGCAGAAAACCAGCCACATGGATTAGAACTGGCCAATTATCCAAAGAATCCAAAACAAAGTGTGCCAAGACGGATTCAAGAGCACGTCGAATGTACGTGGCTCTTTATGTTTATTAAAGGCTAGTGAGCTGTAAATATTTGAACCTTCCATTCATTTGGCTTCCCCGCTCCCTTGCATGCTTTCGATTGGCATTTTTTTCACAACCAAATGAACGTATCAATTGGCTAACAAGGACTTATCCTATTTACACTTGGCAGGGGGAGTATGTGTCTTGCCTGTTGTCCCTTCTGCGTCAAATGTCGGATATTCACTTCCAACATCTGCTGGACAACTTCCAGAGCAAGGAGGAGCTGAAGGTGAACCATCTCCTATGTTTCAGAAACAAATCTGGATTCTTTAAACTGCCCCTTAAAAGTTCAACTGCAAATGTACTCTTTAACTCTGTGCCTTTATCGTCGCAGGAGTTCTTGTTGAAGATTTTCTGTGTATTTAGAAACCTGATGAAGCTTAGTATATTTCCACGAGACTGGAACATCATGCGATTGCTGACCAGCAAGTAAGAAATTTTGTTTTTGAAATGATTGTTTTTGATTGAACCCAGCATTGAAGTATTGGCTATTTTTAAATTTGTAAAAATAGAAACCCATTCTTTGTTTCTGATCGCCCTTTTTCTTCCTTGCAGTATCATTGTAAGCACAACACAGTATCTCTCGCCAGCTCTCCATAAAAGCTTTACGGATGCCGACTTCGATTTCAAGGTATGCGATTCCACACATTTTTCACTATAAATTCAAAGGCGCTGGAACAATCACAGAACAGAAATAGCAAACCCACATCCGTTTTCTTCATGAACGCATTCACATGTTTGCCAAAGCATGTCTTTCCAGTGTCCTGCTGCTGGAAACCCTGTAATCTGCTATAATGAAGCGAATCTCCCTGATCAAGACAGATGGTGCTACTAACCAGGGAGACTCTGAAAAGTTCAGATCTGCTGAATTATTTATGAAGGTTATCTTGCGGAGAAAAACATGGTCCTGTCGTTCAGTGTGGGCTTTCATTGGATGTCTCCTTAGATCAATGTGGAAAGAAGCTTAAGTTTAAGAAGTTTATGTTAATTTTAAAAGAGGGATTATATTTAAGTCAATTTTAAATCACCAATGCAGCATGTGCAAAGCATTTTTTTACAGTTGGATCCCTGGGGGGTATTAACAATCATTTATAAGGATAAGAAACACTGACAGATTTACCCTAGTAACCAAAAAGTCTACCCTAGCAACTATTTAGAAAGCCGTAGGGACACAGGAGTTGGATTAAATCGCTGAAACACCCCATAGTGACAAAACAGCATGCCCTAGCTACTGTGTCAAATGGTCTACACAATCTGTAGTGACAAAAGTTGGTTTATGTTACAGTGATTGGGGTAACTTGGTGAAATGAGCAAATACGCCATACCAACTTTTTTAGTTCAGTCTCATTAACATTCATAACAACAGTCTGTTGTTAATTTGCCAGTAACCAGCAAACATAATGTTTTCATAGCTAGCAACACATTTGAAACAATAGCCAGTGCTACGTCATGGTGCTTTAACACTGGACTACACAATACATTTCTGAGAACACTTGAACAACGAATGGTTGATTTTTGCAAGTGTGAACTTCAGAGAGGTTCTCTGGAAGGTTTCAACAGCCCAGAGCATAGATGGGTGGGATATGTAACTAAATTGCATGTGCAATTTGATATAATGGCTTTCTGAAATGTCCGACTTACACAAATTGAGAAAATTCCATGTATTTCTGTTTGCATCAGGTTTGGAATTCCTACTTCAGCCTAGCTGTGTTGTTTATCAACCAGCCAAGCCTACAGTTGGAAACGCTGACACCAGCCAAGCGAAAGAAGGTCTTCGACAAGTAAGATTTGAAGGAGCTCAATGTTTCTGCAATGTTTGATTCTTGTCATTTTTCCTGCATAAATATGATCTCTTCACTACCTGCCAGTGCACCTTAAAGTCAGTCTTATTCAAATGTATTTTTATGTGAATGAATTTGCTCTTTTTTCGTATTAGGTCCAAAACAAATGAACTCCTCTGAAAAATTCAAACTGGCAATGTTGACATGAGTCAGTCGTATTAAAAGTAAATCCGATTGCAGATCTTTTTGCCTGTACTATAAATATTGTAATGCAAACATTGAATTAGGATGAACCATCTCTTCTAACCTAATTAAAATTGTGCTTGGATCGAACTTAATTGGTTTAAAAGGGTTTATATTGCTTTTTTGATTCGATTGAATGGTGGATCTGATTAAAAATGGAGTATTTGGGTGTATACATTGTACGATTTAAGAGAGTAGGATCACCGAGCAAGAGTGAATGGATGTGCTTGAGGTGGGACATGACTCATTGGTGAGGGGACCTTAACCATAACCCAGCGTTCCTCATTGGTAGAATTAATTTTAGCAGTCAATCACACCACATCAGTTCCTTTCCTCCGGCCTGGCGATACTCATAATTGTAACCATCTGGCATTGGATAGTCCACCTTCACAGTAGTGTTTCTCAAGGTTTCACATTTATTTTTGAAGGGGATATTTATTATCTGTTTTTAAAATTTAGTGACAGATTTATTTTTAATTTATTAACATAAAAAAAAGGCAGATTCAACTCAAGAGATGTTGATAAATGTAAGAATCCACGTTCTTTCATGCAACGATACATAATCTTTACTCCATATTGAATTCACAAAGCATAGATCTTACCTCGGCTGCTTTTTCAGGGTCTTGTGATTAATAGATACACGTTTCTTCAGCCATTGGTCAAATGGTCTTTCAGAAACCCTCAGATGCAGAAATGCACACAAGCCTCCCACACAACATGCAAGATAGATGATCAGCATTGGTTTTCCCTCCTGCCCCTGTAATCATCAGCCGAGCGTGTGAATCTCCTGTCATCTCTCAACATCATAAATGCTTCGGTTTTAAAGAGAGTGTGTGTGTGTGTTTTATGCAGGTATGGTGACATGAGGGTCATGATGGCATATGAGCTGTTCAGCATGTGGCAGAATTTGGGTATGTCCATTCTCTGCGTTTCTTTCCACATGTACTCATGAATTCCTTAAAGACAGTACTGACCTCTAAAGGTAGAAGATGGTAATGTTCTGCAGAATTAACCACCATTATGATTAATATTTAATAAATAACAAATATATATCAGAATTATGTGCTTACATTGTTCTAGTGTTTCCAGATGACTTTGAGAAAGATCCTGCCAAAATTATAGCAGCAATCTCTGTACCTTCAATACATAATAAGTCCTCTCTTATCTTGCAGTTCCTTAACTCTGTTTTGGGCACTTACATTTTTAACAATTTACAGAAAAAAATTCAGATAGATCTGTGAAGGGGTATTCTGCTCTCTGATTGGCCAAGTTTTGCATATTTATGTAGGGCTCAGCATCAAGCACTGACAAGAGCAAGCATAAAAACAAGCAAATGTTACCTTATTATAATAAGGAATTACAATGATTAATGACATTATGACCAGTTTTGATGACTCTAAGCCTACAGAATTGAAAGTGACATTACGACCAAGTGACCCTTACAAGGAAGTTGTGCTCTGCATTTAACCCATCCAAGTGTACACACACACACACAGCAGTGAAAAAACACACCATGAGCACACACCGGGAGCAGTGGGCAGCCATAGCTGCGGCGCCCAGGGAGCTGTGGGAACTGGTGACTTGCCAAGGCCTCCACAGTAATGGTTGACAAGGAGGGTTTCAACACTCATCCCAGCTTCATCTCCCAGTGGAGTTAGGGATCGAACCAGGGACCTTTTGATCTCCAGTCAATCACCTTATCCACTAGGCCACGACTGCCACTTATTAATTAATAGTACCTTTAAAAAATGATTTTTTTTTTAATAAAAAAATTATTCAGTTACCATTTTCCATCAAAACATTGTTAGTTGATGACATTTTTATCTAGGAATAGGTTGTTCCTTTTTTAATGCTAGATATGTTAAGGAGTGTACTCCTCTCTCATTGGCCCAGTTTTGCATATTCATGTAGGCCTCAGCATCAAGCCCTCTCTGTCTGCTGACGAGAACAAGCATAAAAACAAGCAAACCATTTTCGGTTAGTTCAATATCATCCTTTGTCACTCTGAAACCATGTTCAAGCCTGTGATCCACTACATAAGGTTTGGCTCTAGGATGTTTTCATGTGGTTTAAAAGAGGGAGAGAAACTGTATCAAAAGAAATGATAGAGGGGAAGATCTCTTGCCAAATGTTCCTTTCTTTTTCATAGTACATGGGTGTTGTTTCATCTTTGGATGCCCCAAAACAAATCAAACATTCTTTCATTAACAAGCAAAACTGTTTGCCTCCAGGAGAGAATAAGATCCACTTCATACCAGGGATGATCGGACCATTTTTGGGCGTGACACTAGTTCCACAAAATGAAGTTAGGAATATAATGATCCCCATCTTCCATGACATGATGGACTGGGAACAGAGAAAGAACGGGAGCTTCAAACAGGTTCAATATACGTGTTTTTTGTGAATGGTGCACGTGAATAATTTAGTCTGGGATTAAATAGATGTTTTGGTGCAGGTGGAGGCAGAATTGATTGACAAACTGGACAGTCTGGTATCTGAAGGCAAAGGAGATGAGAACTACAGAGAGCTCTTCAGTTTGCTGTGAGTACAGATACGTTTAGAGACGCTTATGGTTTTAGTACTTGTGTCATAACCCACATGTCTAATTTCCTTGTGCTGCGGGATTATTAGAACTCAACTTTTTGGGCCGTACCCCAGGTAACTTTTCACATTTCTTCTAGTAGGAGGCCGCCACTCCTGTGGATCGTCTATTGCTAATGTCTGTGTACGCATAGCTTTGAAGTGTGCTCAAATAATAGTCTAACTGTGTGCTGTTCATATCTAGCCTCCTGGAGAAGATTGAGCAAGAGACCTGGAGGGAGACAGGCATCTCTTTCGTCACCTCTGTGACCCGCCTCATGGAACGACTGCTGGATTACAGGTATAGCTTTCATAAACAATTCAGAAGGGATCAAGTCTAACTCAAAATACACATCAAAAATTTTTGAGTGGTATTAAATAAAGCAAACCATTGTTCATTGGACACAGAAAACTTACTCCAATGCTTGCATTAGAATCTACATTAAATTTGGGAAAATAATTATTGTCAAATAAAGCAAGCTAATTACCAGGTTTTGTATCAAGGGATCTGAGATTTTTGCATTGTCAGTATGGAGGACCAAAAATGACTTAATTATAAATAACTATTTAATAAAGTAGAATTAATAGCATGACTAAATTAAAAAATATATAAAAACATTTTTGAAAAAAAATATAAATGTCAATAAATACATTTCTGCATTTCATTTTTTTGTAGTTCTAGTTTTGTAAGTTTATTTTTTCCATTTTATTTATTTGCTAATTAATTTGGGAGCCCTAATTTCAGTCCGAGCCAGGATTGGTTTTTATCAGAAACCATCTTTAATGGTAGCTAAATAAAACAGAAAAATAGCAAGGTTAAGTTGATGCATGTTTATTAATGAATGGCAAAATATTGACAAAATGACATAAATTAAGTCATTAAAAGTACTGTTTTATTGCTTTTAGAAATTCCCATTAGATTTAGCGGAAAGAAAAAAAAGTACATTAAGACTGAGTTCCATTTCTCTCATTTACCCCTACCCCGTAGCCGATTGTACTTAAAGTCTAACGTAAAATTTGTTTTCATAATTTCGTAATAAAATTTTATAAAATACTACATTGTTTGTGGGTCTTTTTATTTGTACTGGTTGCCATCTTACCCGATGTTTTGAGTGTGCCTCCAGAGAAAGCCCTTCACCTCCATAAAAGAAATGGGACACCCCTTTATTTCACATGAATGTGCAAAATTGACAGATAGGGCCAAAAATTCTACATCTAGGAGTAAATGTATTGCTTTCCACATAGAGAATACCCAACTAAGGCGGGGTTTCCACAAGATGCGATGGGAAAGATGGATAATTAGTCTGAAAAAATCATTGCAGTTGGTCCTAATCAACATCATATGGCTCACATGGTGCATGAGCATGGCATCGTAAGATGGAACTAATGCCATTTCTTTTCTCAATAGAGATTGCATGAAAGGCGATGAGACAGAAAACAAGAAGATTGGGTGCACCGTCAACCTGCTGGTGAGCTTCTTCATGCCTAGTAAATATAGTGAGGTGTTCTTGTTTAGAATCAGAAGTAAACTTTTTAATATTTGATCTCACTTTTTGTAGAATTTCTACAAGTCGGAGATTAATAAGGAGGAGATGTACATCCGTTACATTCATAAGCTCTGTGACATGCACCTGCAGGCTGAAAACTACACCGGTATGTTCCTTTCCTTATTTAGAAACCTCCATTGGTTTTACTGGGTGTGAAGAACAAACTAATCATTCCACTAGGGGAAAATTTAACCATGGGTTCCTGATAATAAATAAATGTGTATTTTAACCCTTAGAAGTCCGGGACCTTTTGGGGATATTTTTATATGCCTTTAGAATTTGCTCTACTAAGTTACCTTTAAAAATACAAATATACAAATATTTTGTTATTATATTACACAATAATTCCACAAACTTTTACAAAAATGGGGAATGAACAGTTTTTATGTTTTATTACAAAAATCAAAAGTATTGAGACAAAATAAACAATGTGAAACTTCAGGCGAAAAAATCCAGGCGAAACTCTCTTAAACTGTTCCAAGCACTTTTGGTGCCACTGTGCTTTTTTTGTACCACATCACAGGTATTATATTTCAAAGTTTTTCCCTTTTTTTCACCACTAGATGGCATTGATTTAGGGTCTGAAAAGGAAACTGAAAGACGATTGTGCATTTTCTCACATTTAATCTGAATTACTTTGCAAACTATGTGTCATAACTCTTTTAATGTTTGTTTAAAACCAAAAATATCAAAACTAATGACCGTTATAAAACCTACAAATTTTTAATAAAACCTGCATCATTCCTACCTAATTCAGAACAGCCCATGTGCCTGGTTGCGTGTACTTGTGTTTTATGGCTCTTATTTCAATTCATACTTGTGGCTGATTTTCCTAGAGAAAACCCACTTTCACAAAAAATACACTTTAAAATGTTTAAATTAACAGAAATATAAGTTTGTATTAAAGACAAATCTTCTAATCTTTGTTATTGTAAGTAGTGTTGGAAGACACTTCCATTAATCATGGGATTTATTCCAAAAACTATAGTGAACCTATGTTCCCATTTGAACAGCAAATATATGGATTTTTAGATTGAAAACTGTATCATTGATTTTATATTTTAAGAGATTTTATTAAACATTTTTTTTATACTTAGCTGCTTTTATTTTCTTGATAAAGTTGTAATTGGCCACAATATATAAACATATACATGTCTGTATGTGTTGTTGGATTAAATCAAAGGGTTTGTCTGTGTTATTATCTTTAATTAATGATTTCAGTTTATCCCTAACCAAATTAGTTACATTTGCCAAATGGTTATTCATACTGTGGTGCTAGAGCTATCTTCTTTGAGTTACATCATAGTCTGGGAAAGACATGCCCAATATTTAAAATTTGAAAGGAGCGCAGTTACACCAGCACAACACCCCACTTGACTTCTTGTGTTTGTGTCCTGCAGAGGCTGCATTTACCTTGCTGCTGTATTGGGAGCTGCTTCACTGGGAGGAAAGACCCCTGCGTGAGTTCCTGCACTACCCTGCACAGAGCGAATGGCACCGTAAAGAGGGTCTCTGTCGCAAAGTCATCCACTACTTCAACAAGGGAAAGGTATCGTAACAAACCATGAAATACTCCCTCTTTGTATGGTAGGCTACATGGATCCATTATATGAGTATAGTATATTATATATCCTTTTATGAGTTTAATAAACATTATTGGGCCTCAAAGGTAATATTTTCTTGGTTGCACTGGTGCTTGTAACACCAAGAAGAGTCAATCAGCACCAAAAGTCTCACGAATACATCTCACAGCGCAACAGAACCTAGTTACTTTCAAGTTTTGCTTTTCTCACTCATCATGTCTCTGCAATGTTTATGGAAAACAGTCTCACCACAGCAAGACTTTGAAGCTGCTTTGATGCTCCTAAATATATTTAGCTGAATTTCAAGAGCATGTGCAACCAAAATACAGATTCAAGCCCTACATTGACAACACATCTCTAAATGGCCTTATTTTCACCACTATAGGATTTAAAGAAGTAATGATTGAGAAAAATGATTAATCTTTTTTTTCTTTCACACTCGCTTTGATCCGCAGCAGCATCTCGTACATCCTCCAAACGTGTAGCAGGAAGTGACTGAACTTCATCATCAGAAATAAGCAGATTGCCATTAATCTCAGTCTCAGACGTCATGCCCTCCGATCACCAATGACTCCAATGTTAAAAGTGCACAAATTCATCACAGAATTAACCTGGTTTTGAGAATATTTCAAAGTCTGGCCCATGGTGTACATGGGTTCGAGACCAGAGCCTGTCTTCCTTTCCCAAACCTTCCCTTCTCTCTTCCCACTTCTCTTCCTGTCTAAGTACTCTCTCTATTTAATGGCAAAAATTGCCAAAAATACTCTTTGGTTGTTGAAAGTTAAAATAAGTATAAGTTAAAATAACCTTAAACGTTCAAAGAAAAAAAGCATTTTGATACACCCGTGTCTCTGTGCACCATTTACTCATTTGGTAGTGATGCTTTTCCAGTGCTGGTTGCTACAAACCGATACAAATTTGTAAGTTGCTTTATAGTCACTATTGTCTACTCAGGAGTCAACGGGGCTTAAAGTGGAGGTTTATATGAATATTAATATTTCAATGTTCA